GGCTGAAAAAGGGAAGGTTTTGGGGTGGAAATGAAGTTTTTTTGGGGGAGAAAAAGAGGTGTTTTGGGGTTTGGTGACCACCCGTGACCACTTCCACCTTCTCCAAAGGATGAAGAACCCTTCAACCCCGACTACGTGGAGGTGGACCGCATCTTGGACGAGTCCCACAGCGTCGATAAGGACAACGGGGAGGTGACCCAGGGGGTTTTTTTGGTCTTTTGTCCCCAAAATGGTCTTTTTTTGTTGTCACTGACCATCCCTTTGGTCTTCTTCTGTGTGTCCTCAACTCTTGGTGGCAGCCGGTGGTCTACTACTTGGTCAAGTGGTGCTCCCTCCCCTACGAGGACAGCACTTGGGAGCTCAAGGAGGACGTGGACGAAGGGAAAATCGGGGAATTTAAACGAATTCAAGCCCGACACCCCGAACTCAAACGTTTGGTGGGACCCCAGATCTTCTCCCCACCCCATATTGTCCTCGTCCCCCCAAACTCGGAGGTTCTTCTCCATCTTCTCACCTCATGGTCTTCTCCACAGCCCCGACCTCAAGCGGGTTCTTGGAAGAAGCTGGAGCTGTCGCACGAGTATAAAAACCACAACCAGCTCCGGGAGTATCAACTGGAAGGGGTCAACTGGTTGCTCTTCAACTGGTACAACAGGTGAGGTCCACGGAGGACGCGGTGGTGGTGGTGGTGGTGACCTCCGGCCACCCGAGAGGTGACCTCCTGACCTCCTCACCTTCTTCCTCCCTCAACAGGCAGAACTGCATCTTGGCCGACGAGATGGGTTTGGGGAAGACCATCCAATCCATCGCCTTCTTGCAAGAGGTCTACAACGTCGGGGTGAGGGGACCTTTCTTGGTCATCGCCCCCTTGTCCACCATCACCAACTGGGAGAGGGAGTTCAACACCTGGACGGAGATGAACACCATCGTCTACCACGGCAGCTTGGCCTCCAGGCAGATGATCCAACAGTACGAGATGTACTGCAAAGACTCACGGGTAAAAAAAAAAAACCCACAAATCCCACCACTTGAGGTCTTCTCCACCTCCAGAACCTTCTCAAGAAGGTGTTTTTGGAAGGCCACCACCCTTCCATCTCTCCTTTTCCCAGAACCTTCTCAAGAAGGTTTTGGAAGGCCACCTCCTTTGTCATCTCCCCTTTTCCCCCAACCTTCTCAAGAAGGTGTTTTTGGAAGGCCACCACCTTTGTGATCTCCCCTTTTCCCAGAACCTTCTCAAGATGGTTTTGGAAGGCCACCTCCTTTCCATCTCCCCTTTTCCTAGAACCTTCTTGAGAAGGTGTTTTTGGAAGGCCACCTCCTTTCCATCTCTGCTTTTCCCCCAACCTTCTTGAGAAGGTTTTGGAAGGCCACCACCTTTCCATCTCCCCTTTTCCCCCAACCTTCTCGAGAAGGTGTTTTTGGAAGGCCACCACCTTTCCATCTCCCCTTTTCCCCCAACCTTCTTGAGAAGGTTTTGGAAGGCCACCTCCTTTCCATTTCCCCTTTCCTAGAATCTTCTCAAGAAGGTTTTGGAAGACCACCACCCTTCCATCTCCCCTTTTCCCCCAACCTTCTCAAGAAGGTGTTTTTGGAAGTCCACCTCCTTTGTCATCTCCCCTTTTCCTAGAATCTTCTCAAGATGGTTTTGGAAGGCCACCTCCTTTCTTATCTCTTCTTTTCCCACAACCTTCTCGAGAAGGTGTTTTTGGAAGTCCACCACCTTTTCCATCTTCCCTTTTCCTAGAATCTTCTCGAGAAGGTTTTGGAAGGCCACCACCTTTGTGATCTCCCCTTTTCCTAGAACCTTCTCAAGATGGTTTTGGAAGGCCACCACCTTTCCATCTCCCCTTTTCCTAGAACCTTCTTGAGAAGGTGTTTTTGGAAGGCCACCTCCTTTCCATCTCTGCTTTTCCCCCAACCTTCTTGAGAAGGTTTTGGAAGGCCACCACCTTTCCATCTCCCCTTTTCCCCCAACCTTCTCGAGAAGGTGTTTTTGGAAGGCCACCACCTTTCCATCTCCCCTTTTCCCCCAACCTTCTTGAGAAGGTTTTGGAAGGCCACCTCCTTTCCATTTCCCCTTTCCTAGAATCTTCTCAAGAAGGTTTTGGAAGACCACCACCCTTCCATCTCCCCTTTTCCCCCAACCTTCTCAAGAAGGTGTTTTTGGAAGTCCACCTCCTTTGTCATTTCCCCTTTTCCTAGAATCTTCTCAAGATGATTTTGAAGGCCACCACCTTTCCATCTTCCCTTTCCCCACAACCTTCTTGAGAAGGTGTTTTTGGAAGTCCACCACCTTTGTGATCTCCCCTTTTCCCAGAACCTTCTCAAGATGGTTTTGGAAGGCCACCACCTTTCTTACCTCCCCTTTTCCCCCAACCTTCTCGAGAAGGTGTTTTTGGAAGTCCACCACCTTTATCTCCAGGGTTTTGGGGTTTTTTTGGTTTATTCCCATCATCCTCCAGGGTCGTCTCATCCCCGGGGCCTACAAATTTGACGCCCTCATCACCACCTTCGAGATGATCCTCTCGGATTGTCCCGAGCTGCGGGAGATCGAGTGGCGTTGCGTCATCATCGACGAGGCCCATCGCCTCAAGAACCGCAACTGCAAACTCCTCGACAGCCTGAAGCACATGGACCTGGTGAGGGCTGGTGGGGTGGGATGGAGAACGGGGAGGTCCTCCGTCCTCTCCTCTCCGTGGGGCGGGGCGAGCTGAAGGTACTTGTGGGGCTTTGGTGGCACCTGGAGATGTTTGGGAGCATCCTGAACTTAAGAGGATGGTCTTGGTGGCATCTGGAGATGTTGGGACCATCTCATGCCCCATGGGATGGTCCTGAAGGTCCATTTTGGGGTCTTGGTGGCATCTAGAGGTGTTGGGACCATCTCATGCCCCATGGGATGGTCCTGAAGGTCCCTTTTGGGGTCTTGGTGGCATCTAGAGATGTTGGGACCATCCCGTGCCCCAAAAGATGGTCCTGAAGGTCCATGTTGGGGTCTTGGTGGCATCTAGAGATGTTTGGACCCTGTGCCACACCCCAAGGGATGGTCCTGAAGGTCCATTTTGGGGTCTTGGTGGCATCTAGAGATGTTTGGACCCTGTGCCACACCCCATGGGATGGTCCTGAAGGTCCATTTTGGGGTCTTGGTGACATCTAGAGGTGTTGGGACCATCTCATGCCCCAAGGGATGGTCCTGAAGGTCCACTTTGGGGTCTTGGTGGCATCTGGAGATCTCATGCCCCAAGGAATGATCTTGAAGGCCCATGTGGGTGGTTCTTGGTGGCATCTGGAGATGTTTGGACCCTGTGCCACACCCCGTGGGATGGTCCTGAAGGTCCATTTTGGGGTCTTGGTGGCATCTAGAGATGTTTGGACCCTGTGCCACACCCCGTGGGATGGTTCTGAAGGTCCATTTTGGGGTCTTGGTGGCATCTAGAGATGTTGGGACCATCTCATGCCCCAAGGGATGGTCCTGAAGGTCCATTTTGGGGTCTTGGTGGCATCTAGAGATGTTTGGACCCTGTGCCACACCCCATGGGATGGTCCTGAAGGTCCATTTTGGGGTCTTGGTGGCATCTAGAGATGTTGGGACCATCTCATGCCCCAAGGGATGGTCCTGAAGGTCCATTTTGGGGTCTTGGTGGCATCTAGAGATGTTTGGACCCTGTGCCACACCCCAAGGAATGGTCCTGAAGGTCTGTTTTGGGTTCTTAGTTGCATTTGGAGATGTTTGGACCCTGTGCCACACCCCGTGGGATGGTCCTGAAGGTCCATTTTGGGGTCTTGGTGGCATCTGGAGATCTCATGCCCCAAGGGATGATCTTGGAGGCCCATGTGGGAGGTTCTTGGTGGCATCTGGAGATGTTTGGGGTCATGAGATGCTCCAAGAGATGGTCTTGAAGGTCCGTATGGGCTTTTTGGTGGCATCTGGAGATGTTTGGGGTCACCAGATGCCCCAAGAGATGGTCTTGAACGTCCGTATGGGCTTTTTGGTGGCATCTGGAGATGTTTGGGACCTCGTTCCACCAAGTCCTCACGTTCTCCATCCCCTTGGTCCTCAGGAACACAAGGTTCTCCTGACGGGGACCCCTCTCCAGAACACGGTGGAGGAGCTCTTCAGCCTCCTCCACTTCTTGGAACCTTCCCAGTTCCCCTCCGAGGCCGAGTTCCTCAAAGATTTTGGAGACCTCAAGACCGAGGAGCAGGTGAGGACCACGGTGAAGACAATCCTTTTGACCCCCAAGGTCCTTTCCCCCCCCACCGAGGGTGGTGACCTCTTTCTGGGTTGTCCCCACCGTCAGGTTCAGAAGCTCCAGGCCATCTTGAAACCCATGATGCTCCGACGGTTGAAGGAAGACGTGGAGAAGAACTTGGCCCCCAAACAGGAGACCATCATCGAGGTGGAGTTGACCAACATCCAGAAGAAATATTATCGGGCCATCTTGGAGAAGAACTTCTCCTTCCTCTCCAAAGGGGTTGGTCACACCAACATGCCCAACCTTCTCAACACCATGATGGAACTCCGAAAGTGCTGTAACCACCCCTACCTCATCAACGGTGAGGAACCTTCCAGGTGGTGGTGGGATGTCCCCTCGTGGGCCCCACCACCCCTGGAGAACCTTAGAGATCGTCACAGCCCAGGGTGGGGTGGAGGACCTTCTCTGAGGTGGTTTTGGTGGCCCAGGGTGGGGTGGAGGACCTTCTCCAAGGTGGTTTTGGTGGCCCAGAGTGGGTAGAGGACCTGGAGGACCTTCTCTGAGGTGGTTTGCCACCCCTGGAGAACCTTAGAGATGGTCACAGCCCGGGGTGGGGTGGAGGACCTTCTCCAAGGTGGTTTTGGTGGCCCAGGGTGGGGTGGAGGACCTTCTCCGAGGTGGTTTTAGTGGCCTTGGATGGGTTGGGGACCCGGAGGACCACCTCCGAGGTGGTTTTGGTGGCCCAGAGTGGGTGGAGGACCTGGAGGACCTTCTCTGAGGTGGTTTTGGTGGCCCAGGGTGGGGTCGAGGACCTGGAGGACCTTCTCTGAGGTGGTTTTGGTGGCCCAGGGTGGGGTGGAGGACCTGGAGGACCTTCTCTGAGGTGGTTTTGGTGGCCCAGGGTGGGTTGGGGACTTGAAGGACCTTCTGCGAGGTCTTCACCGGGGATTTGGTGGCCTCTTGGGTGGGGGTTTGGTCTTCTCCAAGCCCCGTAGAGCTCAAGGTCATGATGGAGAACGTTCTTCAACTCATTTCCTGGAGCTTCGATGCTCCTCAAACTTTTTGTGGCTGGGGTGGCACCTGAGAAGGTCTCGGTGGCCACCCCACTGATTGTCCCCTCCCTTACCAGGCGCCGAGGAGAAGATCTTGGCCGAATTCCGCGAGTCGTGTCACCACCACCTCCCCCACGACTTCCATCTCCAGGCCATGGTCCGCTCGGCCGGCAAACTGGTCCTCATCGACAAACTCTTGCCCAAACTCAAAGCTGGTGGCCACAAGGTCCTCATCTTCTCCCAGATGGTGAGATGCTTGGACATCTTGGAGGACTACCTTATCCAGAAGAGGTGAGATGGGACGTGGCATGGGTGGAGACCCTCAAGGACCTTCTCCTACGTGGTTTTGGAGGCCCAGGGTTGGGTGAAGGACCTCAAGGATCTTCTCCCAACGTGGTTTTGGTGGCCCAGGGTGGGGTGAAGGACCTGAAGGACCTTCTCCCATGTGGTTTTGGAGACCTAGGGTGGGGTGAAGGACCTGGAGAACGTTCTCCAAAGTGGTTTTGCAGGCTCAGGGTTGGGTGAAGGACCTCAGGAACGTTCTCCAAGGTGGTTTTGGAGGCCCAAAGCTCCGTAGAGCTCAAGGTCACGATGGAGAACGTTCTTCAACTCATCTCCTGGAGCTTCGATGCTCCTCAAACTTTTTGTGGCTGGGGTGGTACCTGAGAAGGTCTCGGTGGCCACCCCACCGATTGTCCCCCTCCCTTACCAGGCGCCGAGGAGAAGATCTTGGCCGAATTCCGCGAGTCGTGTCACCACCACCTCCCCCACGATTTCCATCTCCAGGCCATGGTCCGCTCGGCCGGCAAACTGGTCCTCATCGACAAACTCTTGCCCAAACTCAAAGCTGGTGGCCACAAGGTCCTCATCTTCTCCCAGATGGTGAGATGCTTGGACATCCTGGAAGACTACCTTATCCAGAAGAGGTGAGATGGGACGTGGCGTGGGTGGAGACCCTCAAGGACCTTCTCCTACATGGTTTTGGTGGCCCAGGGTGGAGTGAAGGACCTGGAGAACGTTCCCCAAGGTGGTTTTGGTGGCCCAGAGTTGGGTGAAGAGTCTCAAGGACCTTCTCCCACATGGTTTTGGTGGCCCAGGGTGGGGTGAAGGACCTGGAGAACGTTCTCCAAAGTGGTTTTGCAGGCTCAGGGTTGGGTGAAGGACCTCAGGAACGTTCTCCAAGGTGGTTTTGGAGGCCCAGGGTGGGGTGAAGGACCTGGAGAACGTTCTCCGAAGTGTTTTTTGTGGATCCAGGTGGGGTGAAGGACCCGGAGAACCTTCTCCAAAGTGGTTTTGGAGGCGTGGCCCAGGGTGGGGTGAAGAACCTCAAAGACTTTCTCCCACATGGTTTTGGTGGCCCAGGGTTATGGTTTTGGTGGCCCAGGGTGGAGTGAAGGACCTGGAGAACGTTCCCCAAGGTGGTTTTGGTGGCCCAGAGTTGGGTGAAGAGTCTCAAGGACCTTCTCCCACATGGTTTTGGTGCTGGAGGACCTTCTGAGACGTAGTTTTGGCTGGTTTTGGTAGGTACCTCTACGAACGGATCGATGGAAGGGTGAGGGGCAACCTCCGGCAGGCGGCCATCGACCGCTTCAGCAAACCCGACTCCGACCGCTTCGTCTTCCTCCTTTGCACCCGCGCCGGTGGCCTCGGCATCAACCTGACGGCCGCCGACACCTGCATCATCTTCGATTCCGATTGGAACCCCCTCAGGGTGGGGTGAAGGACCTCAAAGACCTTCTCCAACATGGTTTTGGTGGCCCAGGGTGGGGTGAAGGACCCGGAGAACCTTCTCCAAAGTGGTTTTGGAGGCCCAGGGTTGGGTGAAGGATCTCTTGGACCTTCTCCCATGTGGTTTTGGAGGCCCAGGGTTGGGTGAAGGACCTCAAGGACCTTCTCCCACATGGTTTTGGTGGCCCAGGGTGGGGTGAAGGACCTCAAGGACCTTCTCCCACGTGGTTTTGGTGGCCCAGGGTTGGGTGAAGGACCTGGAGAACGTTCTCCAAGGTGGTTTTGGAGGCCCGGGGTGGGGTGGAGGACCTGGA